TAAAATATCTTGTTGTATAAGTTAATTTGATCAGTCAGTATGTTATTCAATTTTGAGGCTTCTGAGAATTTATGTCACACGTGTCCTGTCAAAAAATTTTTTAAAGACTTGCTTACACTTTATAATTAATATTTTTTAAAATTAATAATATAAATTAAATATTTTGTTCTTAAATAAATACATATTAATTTTTAAATTAATTTAACATTAATAATTAACCCTTTGATCAAAAACCTTAGCCAAGTCTACACATACACATTCCAAATCTCTTTTTCATGCATGTTCAATAAGATTATTTCCACGATTTATTTTGAAAAAGGAATAAAAAAAATGAAGTATATTTAGGAATTAGGATATTCAAATAAATTGAAACGTGCAAGTTAGCCCTCCCTAATAACCGGCACTTGAAATTGAAATTGGCCCTTCTGAAAAAAATTGTGCACTTGTTGGACGGGTATACACACCGACTACACAAATGAGCTTGGGTATACATGGGCACATATTAAGTGTTTAGGTTTGCCTTCTACGAATTTTTAGGATACCTCCCACATATATATGACAATGATTCAAGTACCATGATTTATGTACAATGTGAGGTGAAAACTCAAACATCTTCCATGTCAATATCATTAGCTTTTTATTTTTTTCTCATATATTGGATAGACTTATCTTTCTCACCAATATCTAAAAAATATGCTAAAATATCTTAAATTTAAATGTCGTCTTAAACTTTAAATGTGAAGAAACTCATTTATTAAAACACAGTAAGTGTCATTTATTCATTAGGTCCAAGCCTAAAAACAGAGACATGCACTGATATATAACTTAGAAGCAAGGGCGAGCTTTAATTAATCCTAACATTTATGATCAAATATAAATAGTGCTTTCTCCTACGAGAGCCCCCACTTCTTCATTCTACTAATTAGTTCTTAGCTTTCCCTCCTGCTGCCTACAATAAATTAACAACAAACAATAAGAATCAGAAAGATCAATTATATAAATATGGTTTATTCAGACCTTTTGGGTACAATAAAAAATCAGCTCTGTTCCATTACAGTTTTACTTATGTTGATTATTAAGTTTCTTCGATTAAATAGTTACAGTATTATATTAAGTTGAGAGTTATGGGCTATGATATCATGATTTTATGATATTCAACCAAATATATTTACTGCTGTAGGTATGCATCCATTGTTGAATATTACAAAAGCTTAAATAAAGAGTATGTGAACTAAAGACCTTCTTTTTAGAGCCCCCTGCAGACTTCTGCTCAGCCTTCTTAGGGGCGGGCTTGGAGGCCGGAGCTTTGGGAGCCGTGGAGCTGGGTTTGGTGGGTTCTTTCTTGGCCTGCCCTGACAAATCAGCACCAGCAGGTTTCTCAGCCTTGAGTGATGCCATCCTTCTCAACACTTGTCCTGCAAGAAAAGAGAAATTACAAGTTTAGTTCGACTCAAGTGGCAGCTGCACCAATGCTCGTCCATATTTATAGTAGATTTTAGACGGAAGGAGTGCAATGGGGAATCATATCAATGGATATAGTGCAGGGGAATAGAATAGCATAACTGGAGAGCTATTTTGGAGATGCTTTGAATCAGATTCGGACACTTCACTACTTGAGCATATTTTTGCTGAAACTGTTGGATTATGCTTATTCTAAAACAAAGGTAGATATCAAACGAAACTTATAAAGACTAATTAACCAATATAATTGTGGCTTTTTGTGGATTCTGCAAATTATTGAGCTAAAATAAATTATCTTGTATATATATAAAAGTTGGAATGCCAACTAGAGTTTAAATTTGTGTGAAATTTTAACATAAAATTAATTGAATGCAAAATGAACACAAGACATCAATACAAGAGTTGTATCTAATCAAAAATTAATTTACAATAAATGAAGTAATTCCTCTTATATTTAACCTTCATATTTTTTTGTTGTATTTTCGATGCAAATTCTTACTACTCAACAATTTGTATAAGGTAACTTAACGTAAATATGATTTTAAACCCTTGATGAGACATTAATCTAATAATAAAGTGATCAATCAAATAAATTGTGTGCATATGATTTTAAATCCTAAATGAGACATTAGTATAGTAATAAAGTGATCGTTGTAGTACTGAGAGGTCGCAAGTTTGAATTTGCAATAAAAAAAATATCATAAGACTCCAAATGATCTATATTGGTTTGTCTACTTAAGAGCATGCCCTGAATTACCCCTGTATCCAGACAGAAAACTTGTGAAAAACGGTTCGTAACTCATTTTTCACTTGTTAATAATGGGCGCGGACGGGCTGCAAACTGGAACAGGTGGGTTAATCAAACATAATAATGGTTGAGATTGAATAACGATTCTAAGAATAATTGAGTACAAATATCATGTAAATCTAGAAACATTTTTGGCCAAGCAACTGTTTTAGCCCTCAACTGAAATTCAGAGTTCTGTGTTTTAATCCCGGAGTCTACGCAGGTCCTCCCTGCTTAAATCCCTTGAGAAAGCATTTCCTCCGTTGTTCTTCAGTGGATTTGCCAATGTAACACAGCCTTTTTCATCAACAGAATTGGACACAGCATGAAATTGTAAGAGACTTTTTCATTATTAATAACTATGTTAACACAAGGTCCATGTAAATGGGAACTAGTATATATCCTCCATTCTTTGATATAATCTTGAAATCTTACCAGTTTTCACCTGAGCTGGGCTAATAGATCTTGATTCGGTCAGAAATCTTGAATAGACAATCAAATTTGAGATCATCTTCCTCAATTTTCCCACCTTCAACAGTTACTCTGATGTCACATATTAAGCTCTATATTTCATCTGTTTTTATGAGGTGTCCCCATTCTTAGAGCCACATAAGCCAATAGCCTATATCCCACCAACATTATTGCCAAAGCACCCAAATCCCACCGCTTATTGCCAAGATCCAGAAACTTGATTCCAGGAAAATCCATTACCCTGCAATGCATCCCTCCCCCACCACATTCATAAGTCTCATATCCCGAGTATTGAACCTCCACCAATAGCTTATAGCAGTAATGGCTAAAAGAAATGTATTTCATCCAAGCAATGAAAGGGGGAACATGCAGAATGTAGTATCCACCTGCTAGGAGAAACACAAGCATTGTCACAGAAGCCAAGGTTGTAGCCTGCTTTACATCCATCAGGATTGCCCCTAGTGCTAGTCCTAGCCCTTGAGAAACCAGCACATTGAAAAGTATGATAAGCAAGGTTAATACAAATGTGACCAGAGAAGGCTTGAGACCTCCCATCCAATATGTGACAGTTACAAAGGTAGTAGGCAGAACAAGCTCCATTGGCAAGTCACCAACCATCCGTGCAAAGTAGTAGGAGGAGAGGCGATACATGCCCGAGGAACGTTCTTTGATTAGCATTGGTAGCTCTTGAGGGAATGCAAATATGGCATTGAACAGAGGGAAAAAACCCCAAAAGATGGAAAAGAAGAACAGAAGTCCCACCTGTTTAAGGTATTGCAATCGGCGACAAAATTAGATATCAAATTTTATAGTTTGCGGTCTAAAACAAGGAAAATATGTTTCTCATCTTTAATAGATGATTACAATTTAGCTGATCCTGTTTTAAGATATCTTAGAAGCGAATTCCATTGGCCACAGAAGCAATATTAAGGCAAGAGTTCAGAGGCTTAATACCTGATCTTGTATATGTGAAATATCAGAATGCCACCACATGAGGCCAGAAAGAACTGAAACAGACATGACTTGGAAAATTCTCAAGCATGAATACGATTCATGCTTCCTCTCTTGTAAACCTCTTCTTAGCAACACCTTGAATTGCTCCCACCAGGTTGTAGTCCACTGAGCATCACAATCTGGATGAAGACTAATCAGAAACTGCTACTTGACAACTTACAATTAAGCTTATGGCGCACCTAGAGCAGAGAAAATGACTGTCACTTACTTCTTTTTGATGGAGTCGTTGAGATAGAGAGAGCTGAATCTTGCAAATTTTGGTGAATCTCAGCCTTTAAAGCAGGGTATAGGTTCTTTCTGTAACAAGATATTAAGTGCTGTTTAGTTGAATTTTGATCATCATTATGGTCTACTTTCCCATGAAACTCCATTTGGTCATCTTGCCTTACATCATAAGAAATACCTGCATCTCCAAACAGGATTAAAGAGTTAATCCTAAAAAATTAAGGAGGTTCATATTGGTTGATCATCTTATAACACTCGCACTCAAATCAAATTCGACATAAATCATCAAATCGCCAAAATAGATAAAGATTTGTGGGGGAGGTCCAAAAAAGATGCCGCCGCTTTAATTATCAACATAATCTCATTCGAAAAAAGGAAAAGAAAAAGATTTAAATGGTAAAGTAACAATAATATAAAACTACCTGAAATAATTCCTTTCAACTTAATTATTGCTCTCTTTTTTTTTTTTGTTTGACTCCACCATTGCAGTGTCCTCCAAACCTCTCTGAATAATGATTGATATTTACACACTCATTTTGATGATTTTGCTTGGGATTATTTTTAGTTTATTAACCATATGCATTAGTGAAATTTATGTTTCCTAAAAATCAACCAAAGTAGTAATTTTATATCCTCTGCATGTACCTATAAATCTCATAAATTTAATTGTACTTAAGCATCAAAAGCAAAATAAAATTGAATTTTTATTTCTAGGATGATAAAAGAAAAATTTTAAAATAACACTTTTAATTATTTTATAATGTCAAACAGTTAACTTATAATAAGTCATTTAAAAAAATAAAAAGAACTCCAGTTAGAAGAATAGTCCATGTAATTTAATATTAGCAGGAGAATGTACTTACCATTGGCAAGATCAAGCAGAAAATCAGCAGGATTCATGAAATTGAATCCGGACATGTACCCAACGGAACCGAAATACTCCATGACCCGATCCGCAGGCCCGCTATAGATGGGGCAGCCCTCAGAGAGCACCACCACCTTATCAAACATCCTGTACAACCTACTCGACGGCTGATGAATGGTGGCGATCACGGCGCGGCCGCCTCGTGCAAGCGCCCGTAGCGTGGCCACAATGCGCTGAGCCGTGGTGGAGTCCAGACCCGAAGTGGGCTCGTCCAGCAACAACAAACTCGGGTTAACCAACATCTCCTGCCCGATACTAACTCGTTTTCGTTCCCCACCCGACACGCCCCGAAGTAGCGGCCCGCCCACTACACTATTTTTGCACCGAGTTAACCCGAGTTCCATGAGGATTGATTCCGCTTGCTCGATCTTCTCCTCTTTTGTGAGCTCCTTGGGCAGCCGCAACAGGGCCGCGTACGTCAGCGTCTCGAGCACCGTCAGGTGGGGGTACAGCACGTCGTCCTGCGCCACGAAGCCCGTTTTCCGCTTCATGGAGCTGGAAAACGGGCGCCCATTGTACGTTATGGTCCCCGAAAGCTTTCCGGGTAACCTGCCCGCAAGGGCGGTTAAGAGGGTGGTTTTACCGCTACCGGATGGACCGAGCATTGCTAATAACTCCCCTGGCCGGACGATACCGCTAACTCCATTGAGCACGGTTCGGGTTGGTTTCGGTTCTTGAACCGAAGCAAGCCAACTTCGCTTTGCCCTCTGGGAAGTGATACTATAGGCAACATCTTCGAACTGTGAATATAAATAAAACCACTTGGTTTAGTAAGATAACTCCTTAATTAATGGATGTGAGGATTTTTTATTCAATGCATATATGTAAACTTTTGTACAGAATATGAAATTAAGTAACATGTTAGTGTACATTAACATACGAACCTTGAGAATTACAGGGTGTAAAGATTTGCAACAGACTGAGAATTTAGGTTGAGTTTGATGTTGTTGATGAGGGATTAGATCTTCAGGACAAGGAACAACGTTACTGTAAACATTGTTGGGTGAATTGGGAGGTTCAGCATGTATGTAGAGATTGTTGATCGGAGTAGTATTGCAACCGGTAATATGGGTGGTTTCTTGCTCTGGAGGCATCATTTTCGAGAGAAGAAGAGGAAGAAGAAGAAGAAGCAGATGGGATGGAAAATGGAAGTTGGTGTTTAATGTTGAAATGTGGAGGGGGAGAATGTCACAAAGGAAGAAGAGGTAATGTGAGTTTATAAAGTGAAGGAGGCACGAGAAGTAGGGAGCGTGAAAGTTGGTGGAGGTCCAGGAGTGACGTATGTAACCGTGTATCATTCCTTTTTAAATTTTCATCAATTTATTAACATTCTTTTTTTTTTTGGGGCAATTAGGGTGTCTTTTCTATGTCTTCTGTGTGTTAGGATACCATTTGTTGTGTTTTATTAATAATTTTGAAAAAAAAAAAAAAAAGAGAAGGGAGAATGTTATAGACATAATTAAAGCTTCGTTGAATATTGGTTATGATTTTTTGTTTATACATAAATTTTAAATGATTTTTTTAATTTTATAATTTAAATTATTTCAGATTATAAAATAAAAGTCATTTAATATTTTAGATTATAAAACAAAAATCATTTGATGAAAGAAAAGTCTTTAATATCAAGGAACTCTTTTTATCAAATAAATAATATTTTATAGTTTAAAATAATTCAAATTATAAAATAGTTTAAAATAATTCAGATTATAAAATATTTTTTTATTTTAAATTAAAAATTAAAAATAAGGAAACAAATAATAAATCTAAAACAAAATAAAAGTTATATAAAGTTGCGTATATACCATATACACGTAATTCTAAACATGTGTCATGGCATTCACCAACTAAACAATATATGCTACAAGTCTAGAACAATAATATGAAGAAATAAATTATGTCATTATTCCAAAATTAAGTGAAAATTTTATTTGAGAATATTTTTTGCCCTTTGATCATGTTTATTAATTATATGCTATTTTATTTTAATTTTGATATTTGGAAAATGAGCTTTTAAACTTAGGGCATTGGGCTTGTAGTACGTTTTCTTTTATATAGACTGCAACTGTGCAACAGTTCAAAATTTAATTGAACACTTAATTACGTCTTTTTGCTAGAAGCTAATTTTAACTTTTACAAAAGTAAAGATCGAAGAAGATTATAATTAAAAAAAGAGGTTTTTGGGTGAATTTTTAGTTTAGTAATACTAATAACATTATAATTAAACTTTAAAAATTATTACTGTAATTAGTCTTTTTCAAAAAATTCCAAATAATGAGGCAGAAAATAAAGGAGTATCTCCTTTTGGGTTGGGTGTGCATTCCACTTTCTAGGTGTCGAATTTCCATTCATTGGGGAGATATAGTGGTTGAGATTTGTCAATTTGTGTCGTGTTTCCTAGAAAAGGCTTCGCTTTTTATTTTATTTTATTTTATTTTATTCGCCGCCTATAAAAGGCTTTCTTGAAGGAGGCGTGTCATCAGCTCCTTCTTTTTAAGGATGGGCAATGCCAGCTGTCTTGTAATTTTAGGGGTTATTGTTTTAAATATCGGAGAAGAATTATTAATTATTGGTTGAATCAAATTATTAATTATTGATTTTAATTGAATAATTTAAATATTTTAAATTATAAATAATAATTATTATTAATTATTAAATATTAATTA